AGAGCCACCGGGAGCAAGGCGGCAGCGGCGGCGGGGTGCCGCGCCTCTGAGGCTTTGCTCTGGCAAAGCCTCAGAGGCGCGGGACCCCTCTGCCTCCCCGGCTTTGCTCCTGGTGTCCCTGGTCTGCTGGAGACGGTCCCCAGCAGACCAGGGGCACCCGGAGCAGCTTTTCTCGCCCCGGAGGTCGAGGTGGCGGGACTGCTGTGCTCTGGGAGGTCCTGCTGCCTGCGAGCTCCGGGGCGAGAAAGCCCCGTTCGTAAGTGCGGATCCGACATAAGTCGGATCTGCGTAACTAGGGGACTGCCTGTAGTTCAAAACGTGTCTGATATAAGTACTTGAGATTAGTTGTAATCTCTACCTTACTTTACATGATGGGGAAGACAGACCTGACAAATGAAAAGAGAGCTTAGACTTTTTTCTGACAAATGAAGAACACTGATTGACAGCCAAATGAGAAATCCATTGTAGTCACCTTTTAAAATGGATGAAATTATCAGTAATCTTGTAGGGCACATAAGAATTATCAGTAAGTCTGAACATATAGGCTACCAAAGTTTAATAAATCAACTAAACATAAGGGAGAAGGGCTAGTGTAGCATTTTGTGTAGTAGAAAGTGTCAAATTAAGAACTGTGAGGTGATTTTTAAAATTAAAATCTTTAAAAAGCTAAGCAAGTGTCCCAGACTCAGGGACCAGCCAGCAGCTGGAGAGCACACAGTCGGCAACCAGGCTGCATAGCTCCCATTACCTCGGGCTGCGTGGCTCCTTCTGTCCTTGGCCAGCCCCGAGGAGCAGCCGGCGACCTGGCAGTGTGGCCACTGCCACTTCAGGCCAGCCCCTGGCTGCCATCATCCCCTGCCCTGAGCCCCCCACCCATCCTAAGCCCCTGCCCTGACTCTTGCATCCCCACCTCTTGCCCTGAGCCTCTCCTCACCCCCCCAACTCTGACTCCTGCACCCCCAATGCTCCCAGACCCCTGCCCTGAGCTCCCCACATCCCTAACCCACTGCCCTGAAGAACCCAAGTAATGACAGGTAAACTTTCTAGTATACGAACATAGTCTTATGGGATTTCTACAAGGTGCTCTTTTCTAATGAAAAAATAAAAACCCTAATCTTAACCCATGTCATGAATTTCCCCCCATTTAAATGTATGTTCAGACCTGAAAACTGTCTGTATCCCAGCATGCAAACTACTTGAATGCAAGTTATGCCTGTAAATCAGAAGTCAAATACGCAGACTCCATGACATGAAAACTGAAATGTGCATTTTTAAAAGCTATGTTGGCATTTGAGTATTTTGTATTTAAGTCTGACTGAATATTACCAATTTATGTGCTTTTTATCATCCATCTATCAAACTATCCATCAAAGCTTTTCCAGCGTACTCGAATTAAAAATAAGAGATCAATGCACCTTTATTGAGTCAGTTATAAAGCTGTAATTGACATTAAAATTTGGCCTAATGCTACTGGCAACTGGGTGGCTCAGAGAATTGTTATTGGTGAGAACCTTGTATTGCTTGTGGACCTATTTTACCATAAATTGGCATTTCTTGTGTAAAATGAATCCAAAAACATTCACATCAAAGAACTAAGGAAATTTCTAATGGATAAATTGCACATTCTAACTGATATAAATGTAATTGAGGTTTAATTTTAACTAAAACAGAGGTTTTGTTTAATATTTAAAACTTTTTGTCCTATTTATTGAAGACATCAGACAGCAGATTTTATTTCTGACATATTGGATTTCATTTTTATGGTTATGCATGAATGTTTATATGTTTGGTTTCAAAAATAGGCCACAATCCAGCAAACAGGATAGGCTACGTCTAGACTGGCATGATTTTCCGCAAACGCTTTTAACGGAAAAGTTTTTCCATTAAAAGCATTTGTGGAAAAGAGCGTCTAGATTGGCACGGACGCTTTTGCGCAAAAGTACTTTTTGCGGAAAAGTGTCCATGCCAATCTAGACGCGGTTTTGCGCAAGAAAGCCCCGATCGCCATTTTCGCCATCGGGGCTTTTTTGCGCAAAACGGTTCTCAGCTGCCTACACTGGCCCTCTTGCGCAAAAGCATTTGCACAAGAGGGCTTTTTCCCGAACAGGAGAGTCATTGTATTTGTGGAAGAACACTGACAATCTTACATTAGATCGTCAGTGTTCTTGCACAAATTCAAAGAAGCCAGCGTAAAAAGCTGGCAAGTCTGGACGCAGCCGATAGTGTATAAGGTTTTTTTGTTTTTTGGGGTTGTTTTTCTTTACATGAACTGAGCCATAGTGTGTAAGAGGAAGCTGTTTAAACAATATTAAAACAGGAGGTGTTCTTCTTTCCCGCCTCTTGTGAGAGATTGGGAGCAAGGTTAGAGAGGGATCCTCTCCTCTTTTACTTTTTTGAGAGAGTTGGGGATCTATTTCTTTCTTCAGATCACTGCTCCTGAAGGGATTAGGAAGAAGCACCTCCCACAGTGGAAGGGATGGTTTCCGATACAAGATAATGAAATTGCTTTTTGGTTCTGCATATGTCTTTGTTTTATGTTATTTGATGAATGATTTATAAGCTGAGATATTTAGGTCCTAACCCATACAATATTAGATGCACCATACTATTGCATTAACTGAATTATTGAATTATTATTGACATTTTCTTTCTTAGATCATTTTACTTATTGAAGCATAGCCTTGCACTATTCACAGTTCCCATCTCTGATTGTTTCAGTGTACTAGGATGGCTGAAGTGGACCAAATGCAATCCATAGAGTCTATCTACATTGTCCTGCAGCTGCTCTCATCTTTTAAAGCACACCTTTAACATAAAAATCCTAAATTGTAACAAACAAATTATTTACTAATAACACTTCTGATTGTTATACATCAAAGAAACTTCAAAAGCCGATTTTGTTATCTTTACTTATGGTTTTTGATTACCTTTTGCATTTCTCTCAGTTTAGACAGTGAAAATTATTTCAGGCCAGGAATAATTATCTGTATGAAAATATCTCTTTGCTGGATTTTTTTAAATTTCTGAAATATTTCTGGAGATGGTAGGTTTTATCCAAGCTTGTATTTAGAACATTTCTTGGTTTTATTTTGTCAGTGTCTTTTAATACAGATATGGCTTACCGTAATGGCAATTCTCATAAATAAACTATTTAAAAGTGCTGCCCTGTGGATCAAGAAGGCACCTCAGTTGCTGGGACCTGCTCTTGGGCCACACTTCTCAATTGAAGATAAAGTTGAATGCAGTTTGCTACTTTTAATGTAAATAAGTGCAGTCTTTAGTCTCCTGGCATCTTGTCAATGCAGTGACATTATGCAAACTTTGGGTGCTACTGACGTTCAGCATGTACTTAATATAATGTCAAGCCCTCAGTGTTATGCCTTGGCCTCTTTAGCTTTCCCAGAACTCCACTTGCAAATCTATTTGCCCCAGTGATGCCACGTAATGATTCCACTTAGCAAAAAGCATTCTGTGGGGACAATGAGTACAAGGGGAGCTCAGATTTCAAACCAGGACTCCTTAAAGGGACACTTAGATCCCACAAATGCTAAAACTGGCAGTTACACACATATAATTTCATCTGAAGTGTTAGGGATGAGACACTGGACTGAGAGGGCGAGGTTTCTAAGGTGACACCGAGCATTTTCTCTTGCATATGCTCAGCTGTCTTATTCTGGCTCACGATCTCTGGTTTAACTGAAAGGAATTTTCCCTCAAGTGAGACTGACAGTGCCCTTGGGGTTCTTTACCTTTCTCTGCAGTTTGTGAGTACAGGTCACTTTGCCAGGATGACCTGGGCATACCTCAATCATTTCCCTGCCATTGCAGTGGGCTTCAGGCACCCTGGGGCCTCTTCTCTGCCTGTGGCCCATAATAATTTAGTTTCCTGTGGGCTTTGTCTAATGTTGATTGATGGTTGGGTTTAGTACATGGATGCTCAGTGGTGCTGATGGCATGTAATATCCAGGAGGTCAGACTAGACCTCTATTGGCCCCTTAAGGCCTAAAATGCTGTGACTTTAGGCTTTTCCATTTCACTGGCCTAGGTCTCCTGTCTTCTCTCCTCCTCCCCCCAAGAATCCAGCAGTGACTACTGAACCAAGCAAAGTGACATGGCCTGCAAGCCAGAGCCCTGTATGTGCCAGTAACCCCCGCCCCACACTTGGCACTACCCTGGGGCAAGGCTTTCCTTGGGTCAGCCTCCACCTCCTCCAAAGCAAAGCCCTGGCATGTGGGAGGCTGTGTCACCAGCCTCCCATATCAGCCCCCCAAAGCAGAGAGAGAGAGAGAGAGAGAGAGAGAGAGGGGGGAGGGGGTGTGTGTGTGTGTGTGTGTGTGTGTGTGTGTGTAAAAGGCAGGCTGCCTGTGCCTCAAGTCTCTTCTACTACATGAAGAAGAGACTGTGCCCCCTCATGTGCCCCCAGCTCTCCTCTCATCCCCCTCTCTCCTGAGATCCCATATCAGCCCCCCAAAGCAGAGAGAGAGAGAGAGAGAGAGAGAGAGAGGGGGGAGGGGGTGTGTGTGTGTGTGTGTGTGTGTGTGTGTGTGTAAAAGGCAGGCTGCCTGTGCCTCAAGTCTCTTCTACTACATGAAGAAGAGACTGTGCCCCCTCATGTGCCCCCAGCTCTCCTCTCATCCCCCTCTCTCCTGAGATCCC